CAGCCGAAGGCAAGACACAACTTACCTAACCTATGTTTATATATAGGTAGAACAGAAAGTTAAAGATCAGACAAGAACAAGAACACGTGAAACAATGCGGGTGATTGAAAATAAATAATAATACCAGTCACAATGATCGTGGTTAAAATCCTCATCGAAAATTTGAGCTTAGATTTTTTATTGGGACTAAATTTTTTATCCACACACAATAATTTTATAAAAACTCAACAGTTGGCTGTTTCTTATAAAAGCTGTAAAGTATAGCTAAGCCATGTATTTTTTTCTTCATCGATTTCTATTTTTTGAGCCATTGTCACCACACGGCATCTGTCGAGAGTTGATCATGTCTAGACCTCACTGTCCAAGGCCTAAAAACTAGCAATTTTGTACCATTCAAGAGAGAGTGATTCGGTCATTTGGTTTGTGTGAGGTGAGCCAAGGAAATTAGTTAATAGGAGTTGTATTTAATTTGAATGGTCCATATTTACTTATTCTTAGACTCCAAACAATGAGATCCGAAGAGAATCTCAACTCATCTACTAAAACAAACAAAGCAACAATCTTGCTTATATAGAATAAGAACAGAATCCAACGTCAACTTTTACATAGCCCTGATAACCCAAGGGAGAAATCCAACCCATTTTCTAAAACTGGATACATCTGCTAAAATGACCGCGAGTCTGCGACCCCAAAAAGTAACATTGCCTTCATAACAGCAAAGGTGTACAACATTTTAACAACTAAGGAATGAATGAATGTCCTCTAAACCTCACTCATATCCAACCACAAAATTTTGAGGAGAAGTTAACCTAAGATAGAATTCAACGTATCAGTCACTTAATTTGATCTGCATACTGTAAGAAAAACAACACATTATTTTTTTGGCTAAAACGTTTGGCGTTCTTTTAGCTCCTTCAAAAAACAAATGCCGGTACCTATATGAGCTATAAGTAATGAAGTGGAGCAGATGAGTAGATACTACGTCAACGGTTGATTGGAGTGTGCATCCGCTTGACAATTTCATTTACAGCTGCTCGGGTCATCACCAGTGTGTCATGCTGCAGGATGCTGTAGACGTTCAAACCCTGCAAAAAGTGAGAAACACACATGAGTACTGAGTTCAAACCAAACTTATATGGCAGCTGGTTTCATGTATCTACAAAACTTGAGAATGCTGTTTCCGTTGTTTGCTTCTAGTTCTTGTGAATCAAACATCTTCGACAATGTAAACATTTGTCAATAATTTCTATCTAAGCCATTGCTAATAATATAAGAAGCCCACTAATTTCTAGAACAAAGTGTCTGTGGAATGGCATCTCAGGCTGCATCGAATTTGCTAGCTATAATACAACATTAATTAAGGATCAGAAAGAGCAACTCACAATTGCGGGCAGCACGTTCACATAATGCAAATTTTGTGTAGCCAACTTGAGCTTTTTGGGTAACATTTGTTTACCATCCTCTGTTTTAGTACCATCCACCAGCAAAAATTTCTTGGAGCCCTCCATTTGCTGGACGTAGTTTACAATATTCTTGGTTTTATGCGTGGGGACCTCAAAATCTTCAAAAACCAGAAGCTGTAGTTTCATACAGTTTCACTTGTTAAGTTCCATAAGACAAAACTTTAATTAAAATAATTCAGCCAGACAGCACAACAAAGCAAGGAGATAGAGAGAGAGAGAGAGAGAGAGAGTTGCCTTTCCCTCTGCTGCTCGAGCTGTCAGAGCAATCTTTAGTCCTAGACGCCGAACCTTCTTATTCAGCTTAATTTCATGGCTTCGCGGCTTAGGACCATGCATTGTGCATCCTCCTCTGAACTGTTAACACCCATTAAGTCCATTAGCAAAACCACCTTCAAGGCAGAGTTAGAATGAAAATCAGAAAACATGCTAATTCCAAAGCATGATATATCAGTACCTGGGGACCACGTAATGTTCCATGCCTCGCTCGACCAGTACCCTTCTGATTCCATGGCTTTCTCCCAGTCCCACTAACCTCACTAATAGTTTTTGTTGAATGTGTTCCCTGCAGACCAATCAACAAGCATAACCTTTTATCTCATCTTCCCCAAATTCACTTTTGTATGGTCTCGCCAGTGGTTCATCATGAATGCTTCCATGGTATGAAAAATCTAAACTTGGATGACAATAATTTCTAAACTTATGACATGTGAAAACAAAATGAAAACCCACCAACACAGTCCCCACCCCGCAAAACCCCCTCCCGTCTCTCTATATGAAAGCCTGTGCACTTCCTAGTGGCACAGTAGCTAGAATATCCTCTTTCTTCATCAAAAACAAAAAATATTACGGCATAGGTTAAATTATGAAAATTTGATGTATTTGAGGTATCAATGCCTAAGTATATACATAGATAAGTAAATACCTGTTGCCGTTTTGCTAGCTGCCATAGTACAACCCAATGAATAATATCCTTCCTAATAGGTACATCGAAAACATCACCAGCCAAAACTGTGAAGCCTTTATCTTCATAATGAAAATTTGTCACTGGAATCACCAGGTCTTGACAGAGCCCTATATTACAGTACACAAAATCAGTAAAACAGTTCTACAGTACACATCCAGTTTTGATAAGTAACATTAATAAACCATACCTACATCTACACGTAAACCAGGTCAAGTACTATGTAAGTGTTACAACAAACTAACAGTTTCTGCATGCACTGCAAGAATATGCCTACATAAACGTATCTCACTTAGCATAAAAGACAAACGAAAAAACTTTCAATCATACAAACTACAGGATTGTTCTTGATTTTCACAGAATCATCCACATGTAGATGATATAGAATTCATTGCAGCTATGCTAAAAGTACGATAGATGTCCAAACTGATTTTTACCGAGTGATAAAGATGCAATGTTAGTTTAAATATATGTGTGTACGTGTGTGTATTTTTTATATTCATAGCAGAGATCGGGGACAATACATTTGAACTTATGCCAATAGGTGGAGAAAGAATTCAGCTCAAACCTACTGTATAACAATTAATGCACACGTTTCAATACTTATAATGCTTTTTATAGGTAACATAAATCTCAACACATGCAAAGTTTTGAGCTTTCCTCGTACCTATAGAACGCTCTGATGCAACCACAGGCTTTGCTGACAATAAATGAGAGGGAAAGGCACCTCCACTTGATTCGGGAGTTGGGTTGGAGGTTGAAAGCCTTCGATTTGCTAGAAAAAATGATCCAGGCTATATAGAGATACAATAAAATATGAGTTAATTACTGAGTTGTCACATATACAGAAAGCAAAAACTCCAACAAATCACCTTATTGAGTATATGAAAATTACAATATAGTTTAACTTTCATTATATTCTTTTCTTTTGCCAAAAAAATCAGGTGTGGAGGAATCTAAATATAATTATGCAAAGAATACCTTGAAAACAGCTGACAATTCTCCAGAAAGTAAGATATCTCCGGGAGCATGGCCGCAAAAATCTGTTCACGGACCAAAATAAAGGTTGGAAAAAATAGTAGTGCTTTCAATTCCTTCCATGGAAGTCAATAACAAACAGCTTACGACAGACATGCACACACCCTTACCGAGAGAAGCACGAAATGATGATGGATATAAATTAGTTGAAGAATCACAGCGGCCTGATGCCAATACAGAACCAAATGAACGTAAAAGCCTTCTGGATACCGACAAAGCCATACCGAATTGTATTCAACCGGTTATCTACATCCACAAATAAGCTTTCTCAGTCTTCTCACTACAAAAATACACCACTTGGGATCTTAAATTGATGTTTACACCAACATAAATTTGTCACAGAACTTACTTCGCCGTTGAACTATGTCTCTCGTTCTCAAATGCACGAATGTAATACTACAGTGTTTCACAATATCACATAATACAGACAGACTATCATTACAAACCATTTTTTCTTCGAACTTTAACGAAAAACTTCCGATACTGTTCATTCTAACGAAAAACCACATTTTTACACTGAGAAATCAATCATGATACTATTCCCTTTACCCTTTATTTTGTTTGTTAAAATTCAAAATTTTCAAGTTTTTTTCATTAGTTTTCGTCTTTTTCTTTCCATCTTTATTCGAATGTTTTCGAGGTGTTCGATAAAATGCCCAAAACAAGAAGATAACTTTGGCAGCTGAGGAAAGAGTGACGAACACTAACCTAAATTGTCCAAACAAACCTTCATTTAAATACAGAATTGAAAACGCATAATAATCAAAAGTGCCCAAAAACCAAAGCGAAGACGAAGAAGAAAGAAGTACGCAATTAGGAAATGCGGTAGGCCGTTGATCCTCCAAACGGAGAGTGCTCTCGTCGTGGAAGGAGGGCGAATGCGAGAGAGAGAAAGGTAGCCGGAGGCAGGTCTGGTGCTGCTGCAAGATGTAGACGAAAAACCCCCAATTTCCAAAACCCCAAATTCTGTGTATTCGGGTCGACAAACGAGCAAATATGGGTTGGGCTTATTATTATTTTTACACATGTTTGTTATGGGCTTATAGTTTATGAAGCCCAAGTACTCTTTCTGAAGGCTGGACTACAAGATTTTATTTTTAGAACTTTAACGAAAAACTTCCGATACTGAACACTTTAATGAAAAACACATTTTTATATTAAAAAATTAATCCTGATATTATTCATTTATCTTATTTATCCTTACTGTTAAAACTCAGTTTTCAAACATTTTCATTAGTTTTTTTTTATATTTTTTAATTTTTAGGTAAGTAATTTTCCACACTTCCATAATTCGACAATTAAAAAGTACTTTCACTTGTAAACACTTTTATTTAAAATTCAAGTGTTGTTGCCATTTAATATTATGGTTTAACCACACCCCTCTTTACTTGTAAATGCGAAATTTTAAATTTAATTCTCACCAACAACGAACTTGAACCATTATTACTAACTCATTGTGATGCTTAACCCATTATAGCCTACAAAAGATGGTTTAAAATTTTGACATCTCCAGCAGCGCCCATTTCAATATCAGAACATTAAGAACCAACTATTTATATTGGTTAACAACTAAATTAAGTCGCATTTTATACTGCATACATTGTAGGATGCAGGAACACATGTATGATTGTGAGACATTTAATCACAATCCATAGTCAAAAGGAATTAATAGATAAGTTGTTAAGAAATTGGATCGGCGTCCACAATAACACATTTTAAATATATCTAATTAGCAGCATACTAATTGCTTGTCATCTTAATTCAGAGCAATGTGGGAGAGATATCCATGGGAAATGGATTTCCCATGACACTGTCCATGTAGTAGTGACCGGGGTGGCTAGCATCCATCACCACGAACTGCATATCCTCCGTCGGCTTCCAATGCCGCTTCCTTTGGTTAATGAACCAGTTGTTTATCTGCTTTTGGTCCAGCCCCGTTGATTCTGCCAGAGCTAGCTTCTGTGACTCCTGCATCGATAATGTGTACGCTGCACATAATTAACCTACTTCTTGATGGGAAAATGCGAGCATATGTTTATTTCACCTGATTGCATATAGAACGAAAGATGTATATATTTGTATAATAAGATACCGATGGATAAGGCCATTTGTAATGACGGCTCCACCAATCAAGCAGCTGTTGCCTGGCTTCTTTAGGCAGCTTCCCTTTCTTCCTCTTCTTCATGAACTCCTGCTTCAAACTACCCAAATATCCACTGTACTTGCGCAATAGCTGACCTTTAAGCTCCCTGTCTTCCGCTTGCGGATCTATGAAGTTGTTAACATCAACCTCATCTTCAGATGATCCGTTATTCCTATCAATTCCCTCGCCATAACCTAATGACATACAACATGAACACATAATTAAAGTACATCAAGGATTTAAACAGCCTTCCTATATCGTAGTTGCAGCCCTTATCACGCATAAAAGAGATTAACGTAAATGTTTACATTAGGCAATCTTCCTTCATGCAGTCTCACTTTATCAATCAAAACGAATTTGATCTCTGTGAAGGGTCACCGACCTCTTACATTGGATCTCTTACGAGGAAAAAAAGGCAACTCAATGATTGAAAGGTCAAAAGTTCCAGCTGGGTTCAAAAAGAACTCATCGGGTCTATCGTTGAGTTCTCATGATAGTTTTATGCATATATATTACTGCAAACATACACTGTTGCTATAAAAACATTTCTGCATTCGATGTAGTATCTCTATTTCCCTTCATATTTTTCTTTTTGCCAAGGTTTTTGTAGAATTATATCCCTAATCATGAGGAATTTATATTCAGCCATCGGAATGAAAGTACTTTTCATGTTCTTGTACAGGTAAAAAGTGTCTGATGTAAATAGCGTCTTACTCTTTTGGAACCTAGGGGCTCTCCTTTTTAGACCCATAGACTTTCTTTTGTCACTCCCAACATCAAATAAATCACAAAGCCATCCAAGCCAACCCTATTCAAAACATATAGGCATGGATCTAGCTTCCTTAATCCTAGTTTGAAATGCAACTACTACCTATCAATTTCATACTAAATAAATCTGTGTTTGGGAGTGTGTAGTCTCCCAAGTTACAAGGAATTCTTGTCCAGAATCCAGATTAGAATAAAGCACTAACATATCACTACTATACCACTTAAGGAAAGGATTGATATATAGGCTACCTTCAAAATTAGTTTGATACTGCAATTTCCCAGAAGCAACAGAATAATTTTCACTCAAGCAAGCAAGGCTATCCAGATCAAGGATCGATGAAGTCGCAAGTACAGCTGCTTGACAATGATTAGTTCAAGATTAGTTAGGTTTTGGTTGACGATGTTTAGTTCTAGATTGGTAAGAGTTGGTTAATTACCTCTGCTGCCTCTTCACTTGCTGAATTAATTGGAGTATTGAAATGCATGAAATGTTTCCAGGATTATTTGTAATATCTTTTATGCAATTGAACAACAATAACCGATTTAAAATTAAAAAAATGTTAAATCAGTATTTCACAATTTGAAATGTTAATTAAATAGATTCATATATTTGGACTGAAGCACCCTTTTTTGCACAACCAAAAGAAACATAGAAGAAATGTATGCTATATTATTGTAATATTTAAGGTGAAAGAGAACACAAACCTTCAAAACTCCACCACGTTTACAACCTTAATTAAATATATGTTGCCTAAACAAATTATGTGCAGATAACCAGATTACCCTGAGTCCAGCATGATGTGTGTAACAATAGGGAAATAAAGAGTATACATATGTAAAATTCAAGGAACCAAATAGTCAATCTCTAGCTCATCCCTTTGAGGATCTGTATTAATCTTCATGAATTAGAGCCACCAACTCAGTTGTTTTGGTCCATACAGACTGCCCATGATATGTAACATTGTATTAGGACAACACCATGAGTCAAGCTTACCGCTTACCATTTGGGAGATATTCTCTGTATGTGTAAAAATCCAGGATACCCAACTTATAAGCTAGCTACAGTCCTTATAGAATCAATAACTATGTGCAGAAATAGATCTAAAGCTTAAATATACATGTTTTGAAATACATTAAAACATCGACGATTTCTAGAACTCGGGTCTATATTTCTATAGTAACCTTAGAACAAGGCAGACTAACATACAAAAGTTTATTTACAGAGTTAACTAACATTCCAAGAGTGTAAAACTAAACACAAATATTTTGTTGTCCACACAAATTGGCCACTAGGGCTTTAAGAAAAAACCTAATCGTTATGAAATAGCAGTTACTTTGAGCATTGCTATATATGCACACACACACACACACACAAGACGGGGGGAATACGCAAGCCAAACCATTTGTCCTAATATATATACAGTGTGTCAATTTCAACTAGGTAAAACAAGGTGAAGAATTCAAAACAAACCAAACAATCTCGTCCAAAACACACACCGAGAAGAGAATCAAAGCCATATAGTTCTATGTAACGCCAAAGCCATATAGTTCTATGCAACGCCATCGATTTGTCGATATAGCTATAAAATAACATGACTTGCGAGTGGAAACTAGCCAGCTACCACCCTAGTACTAAAACAGTTCTATATATACATAATACATCCCAACGAACAGCAGATATATAATTAAATAAATTGTAGAAGGAACCAATTAATATATCAAATGAAAGACTTTGAAAAGGGAGAACAAGGAAGAACTAACTGGGTACCCGCTTTGGAACACATTTGTTAATTAATAAAATAAACCTACAGATCTTGGAAACGGCTTCCATGCATGGCTGGTTATTATATTGCTTAGCATTAAAATATTCAGATAATAAGAAATAAAGAAAATACTCAAAAGGTCTTCCTAAACAGTAAAGAAATTTAAGAAAAAGAAACAGTGATGATATACATACATAGAGAGAGATAATGGTGATGACGAACCTGCAGAATCGGAAGAAGAAGAAAGAGTAAGGGCTTTGAATTGGGACTCGATTCTTTGGAGGAAGATCATGGCTTCCTTGAAGGGTTTAGAGAGTTCTTGCTCATACTTGGTGAGCATCTCGCAGTAGGCCTCCATGAACTGATCCAAAGCTGGATCTTCACCGAGAGATCCTGATCCACTACTACTACTCACCATTTGACCTATTGTTGCCGCCGATGCGCACGCTTCTTCCAGTCTCGCCACCACTTCAGGCGGCGCTCCAACCTGCACATCATTGTGTTCAATTAAATATTATTGTTCAAACTCTTTTAAATGATGATGATGCAAACATATGTTTAAACAAGATCAAAACTCAAAGGGCGAAGAGACTTGGACCGTCTTTATCAACAACATAATTACTTAAGTTCCTTGTTAACATAATGAACTCAATGAAGCATAACAAGAACATGATGGTATAGTAGTAGTACTGCATGAACAACTTCATAATACCAAATCTTTCGTTGAGGATGGGCGTTCTGAGTCCTACATAGTCCTACCAAAGGAGCTAATATCGGCCAATCCAAATTATTTTAACATAATTTACAATGAGAATATGATTATTAAGATTCTCAGATCTCAACTTCCCAAAGGAAAGAAGCTTGGAAACATGAAATATCTATCACTTTCAGGCGCATGTCAACTAATATGTCCTTTCAAGCAAACAAAAATGAAAAAAAAAAAAGAGGACAACGAATGGAGAATTGTGGTACTAACTCCTACGTTTGTAGGAATTGAATACCTATTTGGGAGGTCAATATAAATATATATGTGTGTATCTTAATTATATCGATGGTTTAAATTTTACCTTTTGACAGTTGATATAGGAGGCCAAGAGGCGGTGATAGTGAGGATGGGCCATGATCTTAGCCTTGACAGTTGAAGATGAAGAAGAAAAAGAGCTGCCGCCAACACCTTCATTATTGTTGTTGTTGTCCATGAAATAGGAGGCGGCAGCCGGGTTGTGGAGAATGAAGGAGGAGCCGCCGCTTGTGTTATGCCGGTCGTGATGGTTGTTGGACGGAGGCAACTGGGGAAGCTGGTGAAGCTGATGAGTCGTACTAGTATTGTGTGCATCTGCATAAGGATTAGGGTTCATATGTTGATGATGATGATGGTGAGAGTGATCAGCATGATGTGATGAAGTCATTAGAGGCATCATCATCATTCCTCCTCCATTACTGCTGCTTTCTCCAAAAGCCATCATACTACAGGTGCCATTGGAACCACCTTCCATTCTCTCTCTCACTAGATCTCTTGCTATATCCTATCCCTCACAAATTAACTTTGTTACCTAGTCCTTCCTACTAGTTTCGTTCACTTGGCTTTGCTACAAATCATTTCTCTCTCTCTCTCTCTCCCTCCCTCCCTCCCTCTATTTCTAGGTTAAAATGTTTTTATTTTCTCTGTCCTACGTAATAATGTTATACATGCATAAATATGTGGATCTGATCCTGAACGATATTACTCCTCCAAAGAAAGGGAGGGCTCTCCCGGGTTTTATGCTACAAACTTTGAGCAGGCTCTTAACAGGGAAAAATCCTAAGTAGTGAGTGAGAGTGAAAGTGGTGGAGGATGGTGGGTCAGTAGTTTAATTATGATAGGTCATCTTCAAGTGAGATTGGTTAGAAAGCTCGTTTTAACCCTCTAGTTTTTCAAAAAATTAATATTTTAATAATAGTACATAATTATATTTACTTTCATCTCTAACCAAAAGTCAAAGAGCCAGAGGGCTTGTTTTAGCCCTGTCACAAAAAATCGTCTCCAATCTAAGATCAAAAGGCCATAGAGCCAAATATAATTTATTATTTAAATTTAAAAACTACAACAGCTGAAATTTAAAAACAACAACTTATATTTAAAAAATACAACTTAAATTTAAAAACAACAAATTAAATTTAAAAACTACAAATTAAATTTGAAAGCAACATTAACTTAAATTTAAAAACTACAACAACTTAAATTTAATATCGATAATCAATATCATCTTCATCATCAGTCATTGTAGGAGCATAGTCAAAGGTAAACAACTGCCGTTGGGTCATAATTTCTTATTTTTTCCTATCAAAATAGGCCTTACTCATTAGAGTGTAATTCGAAGTGTTTATTTCTATATTATTATCATCTATCTCTTCTTGTATTTGTTTGTCTTGTAATTTATCCCTACGGTTCTTTTCCTATTAAGTGCAATGAGGCCGCCACTTCGTGTTGAGCGGCGTAATCATCATTTGCCTTCTCTTTTCCTTCAACCTTCGTGCCTTGTTTCGTCCCATAGCCTTAGGTATGGAACCTTAACCCGAAGACGGAGTTTCTACTATTGTTTGTTGAATGGTAAGAGATCCATCTTCATCCATATCTGCAGCTGAGGATGCAATTTCGAACACCGACGTAGGACCTACTTTATGTTGAGGTGGATCTTCAAATAACACCCACCCTTTACAAATTTCTCAACAACTGTGAAACTGAAAGGGTTTCGAGCTACCTTCCATATACAATTCCTCCGCTTGGCCTACCTAGAAAAATTAATTACAAAAATTAAAGGAAAGTAATTCATGAAATTAAATGTAATATAATTAAATATTTAAAATAAATTGTGAAAATACTTACTTCGTCGTAGTAGTTAACGCCACTCTCATGTCTACTTGCGACTGTTAATAGTGCTTGATGTCATTTGTTCAAACTTGAGTGAAGATGTTTCTTCCATCTTGAAAAACAACTTTCGTGGTTTCAGACATTCAGTGGAGCGATGCTTTCGTATAACTCTTAGTATTTTTTAGACACACGAATCCAAACACCTTTACTTATTTGAGAACTCCTCCTCACACTATCTTCCGACACCCATCTATAAACCCTGCAAAGGGCTTCATCTTCTTTCATCTTCTTTCGGGTCCAAACCCTACCTTTTATTGCAGACAAGGCCATTTGAAAATTATTTAAATAATTGAAGGAAATATTTTTGAAAGAGGTAAGAAAATATGAGAATTGAAATGATGAAAAATTTGCGAGGAATGGTGAATGAATGGTTTAGGTATTTATAAGAAAAAAATTTAGAATTTTTAAGAATTTTTTTTTAAAATTGGCCCAAAAATCGAAAAAAAAATTGAATCCAACAGTAACAAGGGCCAACTAACCATTGGATTCAAATTTTTGTCGGATAGAACCGATACTATTAAAAGCATTGCTTTCGATTATAACCAACACCAGTAAAAAAATTCCAGTAAGCCTGGGGCTGGTTGGCAGCATGTGGTCAGCCCTTCGGCCATTTCAGATTCTATGGGGCACACGAGCGCTTTGGTCTGACCCTCTTTTGAAGATGATTTTTAGACTATTTTCAACTTTCTAACCTTCACGATCTTTCGGTTGGGATGACCTTAATGTTTTTTCTTCGTTTGCTGGGTCTGCGAAAGCCAGCCTCAGATTTCCTTCGCAAAATTCTTGTTTTATCTCTCTCTCTCTCTCTCTCCCCACACATGCGTTTAACTCCTCACAGACACACAGAAGCAGATACAATACTCTCTCTCTCTCTCTCTCTCTCTCTAATATGTAGGGTTATGCAACAGGAACAAATAAAGGGGCGGTGGTTCATAAAGGCTAAAAAAAAATTTGAGGATTCACTGTAAAATTCATTTGTAATATAGAAAGTAGTTTAGTTATTTATAAGTAGATAAAGAGTTTTTCCTTTTTTTTTAAGTTTGAAAGTGTAACAAATTTTCAAGTTAACATGTGGATAATATAAATCAAATGATATAGAACATGTACGACCGTGAGGTTTCATGTATAAGATAATCTATTTTGATACGATAAAAATAAATTATTACAAAAATTAATTAACAAAATAAAAAATAACCTAATCATTTATAAACAAATACAAAATTTATTCATAATCTCAAAACACTCAGCTGGTTATTTTTCTTTCTTAGGGTAATACAAACTCATTTGGTTATTAAGATAGTTGTGTGAACGTGAATAACAATAACAAATAATAAAAATATGGTAGATGACGTAGAGATAGGAGGGGAGGGTAACTGAGGAGAGGAGAAAATCTATTACTCTCCCCCTATCACTCTGTGTGTCGTGTGATGCAAAGCTTTACCTTCCCGATGAAAACTCTCGCCCTCTTTTCTTGCACTGCCGCTGATGTGCTGCCATTACTGGCAAAGAATTATGAGAGAGATAGACAAGGGAGAGACCCAACGATCGATCAAATCGAGGGAAGAGCCAAACGGGGCACCTAATGGCTAATAGTATATATATGTATGAACTCACACGGATGAAAATATTTTACACTAGGAAAATAAAAATTGTAGAGAGAGGGAAATTGGAATTACTACTGCTAGGTCTAGCTTTCTCTCTCTACTGTAGCCTTTGCTGCCTTTTTCTTGGTTACTACTGGAGCTTGATTGCAATCTGTCCACTCATTTAATATTCGCACTTCTGCCGGTTGTCCTCTTCTTCTTCCCCTTACGGCCCAACGCCAACACAATTAGCCATCATGATCAAATTAAAATAGTAAATATTTAATAAAGAACATGTCTTATCATGCAATATATATCGGCATATTTTAATTTAGTTTGTCATGTGCTTGTCACCTACCAAAGTACCGATGCTCGTGCCAAATCAGACACCCATATGCGTCTAGAATGTGTTGATGTTGCCATTTTCTTTTCTCCTGGACACTTCTTTATACAATGTCATTTCTCTTTGCACTGCTCAATCACAAGTTGAAATGGATTAACTTGTGATAAAGAAACCATCAAGAATAATTAAGGAACAAGTGCTTGCACATGCTCAATATATTCACGTAGTATGCTTTTTTTAGAGTGACATTTACTATTTTATTAACCTCTTTGATATTTTATTTGAATAATAATTATCTAATGCACTTACATTTATGCATAATAACAGAAGTTAATTGTATAATAGAACTGTCACGATGTCATATATATATATATATATATATATTCAAAGTTAGTCTATAATAACTATGTCAACTTGTTTTATAAAACCTTGTCATCATTATTTTATCACAAGTGAAATTATCACTCTAAGCTACATTAAGCGAAAAGGGAAAACTTGAATTCGATATGTTGTGGGTTGAAGAGAAATGTTTTATTCACTATTAACAACACTTTCAACTTATTCATTATTGTGTAACCTTAGAATAAAATTTTGACAATTACAATCTAACATTATATTTCTTGTAATTAAGACATTGAATTAAGTTGACACTTAAGCCTTTCAGGTGAAAGTTGTAGGGCCAATAATGGTAACGATGATTGGGTATTTCAGACGTCCACTCACAAAATCTAAAATGTCTATACTGCAACAAGATGACCGCCTTGTTATAGTCTGAATTATAACATACGATGAAACTCAATCTCATCTTGTAACAATTTTCTGGTAAAATTTGAAGGGGGATCAATATCTAAATTATTTTGTTAATTTTATTGAATTAAATTGTATTCCAACACCCTTGGATAAAGGACACCATGAATTTGGTTTCTCATTAAATTAAATGGTATTCCAATACCCTTAAAAAAAAAAACACCATAAACTTTTCTCATTGTTAAGTAATGCTCTATACCAATACCCTTGTCAAATTCACAGTTGTGTATTCATATCAATCTTCTTAGTCACTATGAAACCCTTTGCTGTATTTGGTCAAATGCGCTTGTGTATCTCCTTCAATTATATAATACTTATGAATAATGTTAGAGATATTAAATTTGCAAACTAATAATGTGTCACCAATAAAAATAAGCATGTTAAATAATAATACTTAGATAATAATCTAATTATCAACTTCTACATCATTTACTTTATAAAATTTATCATGCACATTTAATCTCTCTATTAATACCTAATATCTATATATACATATGACTTATGTACAACTTTTTTCTTCTTTCCTCCTTTTGATGCTAAGAAAATGCGTTCTTGATTCTTGGTAAACGTATTTAAAATTTTAGACGATACCATCTCAAGGAAATTAAGAAATGCTTGGAGAGAGAGTTTTTTTTTTTTTTTTTTTAAGTCTTCTTGGAGTTGGTTCGAGTGAAAATTAACTGACAAAATATTTTTCCTAAGCAGTATATGTATATAATGTCATCTTCAACTGAAGGAAGGTCAAAAGGCTCCTTTTAACCCTATAGCTCTCAAAGAAATTAATATTTTAATGAACAGTAACATGTCATATTTCTTACCATCTCCAACTAAGGGGCCATAGGCCAAACATAATTTATTATTTTAATTGAATTACTATGATTA